TTTACCTTAATGCAGAGAATGCATTAAGGTAAAATCCTTAAAGCAGAACATTGTTCTTTTACCATGCAGTGGGGCTCTGCCCACACTGCATGGGTTAACTGCTCATTTTGGTCTAGGAGTTCGGGGAGCCAAGATTTACTCACCTAATCCTCTGATATTCCCAGTGCAAGACTGGTACCTTTGGCTCCTGCCCCCCAGTGGTCCAGTGGTCTTGTGTGGTGGACTGTTCCTGACATCATCATGCCCATAGACTGGCTCTGGACATGAAGAAATCAGGAACAGTCCACCGCTGGACGTGGGGGAGTGCTGTTTTCCAGAGGATCGAAAGATCAGGTGAGTATAGGCGCCATGTTTATCCCTAGAATAAATGAGCGGTTAACCAATGCAGTGCGAGCACAGCCTCACTGGATGAAGAAAAAAAAATTGCCTGGAGTTAGGCTTTAAGCCTTTACATCCATTTTATAACATTTTATCAACTATTATTTTAATGCATGCATAACTGCAGTAACGTAATATTCTTTGTATATCTGCCTGAAGTTCAGCTGTAATATACAATACAAACAACCCATTAAGGTGATATGTAAATAAAGACTACACACCATGGAACATATTTATAAAGCATCGCTTGCCTCTACCTAGAATCACACTATGCCATAGTAAAGGTAGTACTGCTTTTTCATGACAGGCAGCTCCCCAAATGGTTCCAAAGATCATTATGACAGTGGGGAACCTCTTACACCTCACATTTACTACAGTTGAATCTTCCTGGTGCGTGTTTTAAATTACACTTTTTATTTAAAGTGCAACAAAAAGCATTTCTTTTGTTATGGGCTGAGTGGAGAGGGATTAGAACACCTGTGAGTTTTTATTGTTTTTTGTGCCCCTGTTAGGTGGTTTCACACCCTCTTTTTGTCCTAATTATGTTTATCATCAAAAGTGAAAATAAAAGAAAATCTCAAATTTTGAGTTGACATCAGAACACTAAAATCTTCTAATGGGGACACTAGTTCTAGTGACCCTGGTAACACACTGGGTTTTCCTTTCTTTGAAGGGATTTCCTCTCATTTTCTGCTGAAGCACTGATCTGTGGATTCTGACTGTGGGGGGGACCTCGGGGGAGAGGTCATTGCATCAACATCGTTTGGGTTGATGCAGGGATCTGTGATTTTTTTTCCATTCAACCCCTGGAATGCAACTCAATGTGCATTCCCTGCTTCAGTAAACTTTGGAGCTTCTAATGGGGACACTAGTTCTAGTGACCCTGGTAACACACTGGGTTTCCCTTTCTTTGAAGGGATTTCCTCTCATTTTCTGCTGAAGCACTGATCTGTGGATTCTGACTGTGGGGGGGACCTCGGGGGAGAGGTCATTGCATCAACATCGTTTGGGTTGATGCAGGGATCTGTGATTTTTTTTTCCATTCAACCCCCTGGAATGCAACTCAATGTGCATTCCCTGCTTCAGTAAACTTTGGAGCTATAAGTCAAGCAACTGATGTCCAAACGGGTGAACTGGAAATATCATTCATCTCTTGAATACATGCATGAAGATCTATCCAATCTGCAGAGAATCACACAACTCATGAATACTGCACTGTGACGAGCATCTGATTTGGCAAGTAACCTGATTCCTATAAGCAGTAAATCACCTGAACGCACCCATAGCTGAGCACTAGCTGACGCAAGATCAAGAGATTCTGACATATTCACACAACAGGGATAAGCAAGCTGACTATAGACACGAGATGGTGGTCAGACATGCAGGCACCATCTGATTGCCCTCGGGTGTCTGTGCCAGCCAAAGTAACCTGAAATATGACAGCTGCATCAGTACGACCGTTTATGTTTTGGCCTACGGGGAGATTCAGAGGAGGCACAATGTAGACAGCTAATGACGGGAGAAAACAATTATGATCAAACAAACTTTTTGTATGTGTTTGATTACTATTTTCCTTCAGTGAACCTCAGTCGCCAGTGTCTATGGTTGCCCTACCACCTTAAACAATGGGGAGATTTACTAAAACTGGAACGCACAGAATATGGCGCAGCTGTGCATAGTAACCAATCAGCTTCTAGTTTCAGCTTGTACAATTAAGCTTTGACAATAAAACCTGGAAGCTGATTTATTTATATGCACAGGTGCACTAGATTCTGTGTGCGCCAGTTTTAGAAAATCTCCCCCAATTATTTGGACACCTTCAGTGTATGGATACAAAATAATAACATCAGACCTATGCCAGGCATCAGTTAGCTAATTAGACAGGTTATAAAAAAACAAGTGATTCGTATTGTTTTCTCTTAGTTAAAATGTGTTAGGATATCCCCCGACTACTTCTATATGAAAAAACTTTAAAGAAGAAATCAGGGCAAAATTTTAATCTTAATATAAATACTATCTTTTCAATGCTCCCTCTACCACCAGCAACAGTGCAACAACATATATCAGCAAATGTCCACATATGAGTCCATATATAGTGCTTTTCAATATATAGTGCTTTTTCAAACGTTGAGGACTATTCCACTTTGCTGATTATTCAATCCAGGAACCTCAAATCAGGATACCTCAAAAGAAATAAACTCAATATAGTGCATTATCATTACAACAGAGAAAAACACTCGTGAAAACTAAAAGTGATTCCTCCTAAACTCCCACCCGTGACAAATCAGCACTCCAAAAAGTGATTTAGTGCAACACTCCACAACCAGTGTCACCATCCAAATAGACTAAATACCATTACCCTCTCATGGAAAATCACATGCATCCAAAAGAAATAGTGCCCTCTTTCTTGTGATATAGAATACCATTACCCTCTTCCAATGCAGACCAAGCAAAAACTCCTTCAAGGCAGTCCAAAGATTCCCCCTCTCCGGAAGCTTCCTACTGCTTCCAATTCACCTTCCCCGTTCCTCAAAGGGGGCAGACAATACAAGACTCAGTGGAGTATATAAAAAGGATTTCACAAATTTATTCACAGCTTACATAGAGACCGCCAGCGTCCATCCTCTCCCACAGTCCATATAGCTGAACTCCAGAATTCAAGATGGCCGTGCCGCTCCTTCCAGTTTGAAAAATGTATTGTTACGTCCTTACGTCACTGACGCGTTTCGTCACTTCCGACTTTTTCACAAGGGAGAGGGAGTGGGAGAGGATGGATGCTGATTTGAGGTTCCTGGATTGAATAATCAGCAAAGTGGAATAGTCCTCAACGTTTGAAAAAGCACTATATATTGAAAAGCACTATATATGGACTCATATGTGGACATTTGCTGATATATGTTGTTGCACTGTTGGGGGTGGTAGAGGGAGCATCGAAAAGATAGTATTTATATTTTGTTTACACTTTCAAGGGTGAGAGTGATACTTTTCGTAGGGATATTTAGAGTTTGTATTATATCTATCAAAATTTTAATCTTAACTGCTCATTTTGTCCAGGGGTGCAAGGAAAAGCTATACTTACCCAATCCTTCGATCCTTCAGAAAAACACGCTCCCCTACATCCAGTGGTGAACTGTTCCTGCCATCCTCATGTACAGTACAGAGCCAGTCTATGGGAGCGATGACATCAAGAACAGTCCTGTCAGGGCTCCCAGGTGTGACCAGAGGTGTGTGACTGACGCAGGGAAACGCAGACTTCAGATATGTGATAAAACAATATAATTTATTAACACTAACCATACAAACATAAACGCAGTGCAATACTAAAACATAATACAGTGCAAACAAACCAAACCAACCACCCACAGATGACAGTACATACAATGCAAGCGTCGTCAGGCAGGCCGGGTCAATATCAATAGGGCAGGTAGGTACAGGGGGAGCAAGCGGAGATGGGTCGGGGGTCACAGGCCAGGTTCAGCAGGTAGCTAGCAGCGTAGTACAGAGGGTCAGGCAGAGGGATGGTCAGGGTCACAAGCCAGGGATCAGAACAGGTAGCAAGCAGCGTGGTACAGAGGGTCAGGCAGAGGGATGGTCAGGGTCACAAGCCAGGGATCAGAACAGGTAGCAAGCAGCGTGGTACAGAGGGTCAGGCAGAGGGATGGTCAGGAGCGAGCCGGGATCAGAGCAGGAGAAGTCAGCAGCGGTTCAGATCAGGCAGGGTCAGCAAAGGAACAGAAACAGGATGCAGGACAGATACAGGGCCCAGGACAAACACAACACCAAGGCAGAGTCTTCAAGTCTGGCCATCCCTTAAATACACCAGTATCATCAGTTCCAGGTGTTAGCTGGCTGAAAGGTTGAGTCTCTGATTGCTGGGAGCACCCGCTGGCCAGCCCTGGTACTGCAGATCAAAAGGCAGGTGAGTCCCACCATTGCTGGCCAGTCCATTCCTGACAAGTCCATTTACAAGGCCGCTAGCGTATAGGGGGGGCAAGAGCAGGGACTAGTCTTGCGCTCGGAGGATCGACAGATTAGGTAAGTATATCTCCACTCTGCAATTTTCTATACAAAGATTAGCAGTTAACCCATGCACTGCAGACGCAAACTTAATGCATGGGAAACTAAATATTTTTCAGGGGGTTCTTCTTTAAAGTAGAACTATAGGCAAAGTAAGGGAGGGTTATAACTTCTGTCAGGTTTTTTTTTTTTTTTTGTGGCAGTTGAGTCACAGTTTTACCACCCCAGCTGCCCACCTAAATTCTAACATCACAGCCAGATTGGCTTGTACACAGGCTTTGGATTTGTTGCTGGGGCAATTTTGACTTGTCTTTCAGAGTTTGACAGGTGGAATTGCCTGACAAACTTGTATATTGAGGTCAATGGGAGAGCGTTGCATCTACAAACCAGTTACAATGTGGTATTTTAAAACAAAATCCTCCTTGGGATTAAACATACTAAATTTAAAAAAAGCAGACACTCAGGAGGGGGCAGAATTACCTTCTGAAAACCTGGCAGCTGCTTCTACACTGCCCTATGAAAAACGATCCCCCATCGCAGATCTTACTGCATGCACTGTCTATCTATTCTAGACAATGTGCATTTCAAAGGTAAAGATGGTCATACACAGGGGCGTACTGACCATTTGGAAACTCAGGCACTGCCCGAGGGCCCGGGGTCAGTAGGGGGCCCCATGAGATGCCCCTGGTACCTTTTTCATAGGCTTTTTTGAGTTTGGGCAAGGACACAGGGGCCCCATGATCCCCTATTGCCCGGGGGGCCCATGAGTTGTCAGTCCGCCCCTGGTCATACAGTTAGATTTTTATCATTCAGTCCACAGCCTCCTCCATCCATGCTATACAGCACAGATGAACAAATCTCCCACAGCCAGCACCAATAGCTGTCAGAATATCCAAACAGCAGTTGCAGCTAACTGGATGGACAATTTGCCCGTCTGGTTTCTTTGACTCTTCAATCAAAGGATGTTGGGCAGCGGAGTGGCAACAGGGCCAACCATGTAGCAAATTTCATCCAATTTATCAGGAATGTAACAAAAATTGTATAGTGTATGGCCAGCTTAAAAACATTTGTTTGAGGATCTGACCATTCTGCATGGAGTGACCAGAAGCCCTCTTGCAAAAGTTCCTTTAGAGAATACAGTCTTACAGAGAGACTCTAGTGACATCACATGGCGATATTATGAAATTTCCTACAGCATATATCACAATGCAGAGAGATCACTTAAACACGTACATCTAGATCAGTCTGAGCTTCTGTCATTTCTGATGTGTTGTTTTCATTTGCAGAAGTGATTATTTCATCTTGATTTAGATCCACCTGAAATGATATGAATATCACAATGAATAAACACAAATGCTAAACAGGAGTTTAAAAACCCAGCACTGTTATGGTAAAGGAAAGTGTAAACATGTAATATGCGCTGAGAAGATATTTCAAATAAATAAAAAAAAAATTTAACGGGGATTTTTATATAAAAAAAAATAAAGGATCAGAAGAATATTATAAACTCTGCCAAACAGCAAAATACAAAGATGAAATACATAGAAGCCTCGATTCGCAAATATTTTGGTGTGTGAGAAACAGAGTGAACCCTGTGTGCTTCCCATACCACAATGAAATTGCACCACATTCATGAATCTGCTGCAGGTGTCAATTTTAAATTAACAACACCCCAAAATGGTTCACAATATGCAGTGCGATTGCCAGAATCTCAAGGGCGTGAAATCCTATCTGATTCCGGTGCAACAAAAAAAAAATACCTGCACCTTTTCCATGAAAGGTGCGGTGTGATTTGAGCCCATACAAAAGGAATGGGCTCAAATCGCACTACAAAGAATTGCGTGTGATTTGAACAGGAATGCGGTGCAATTCTTGTCTGAATCACATGCAGTTTCCCACACTGCTCCTGTGTGAACCCAGGCTAAGGCTGGCCATACACTATACAGTGTTCTGTCCAATTTCTGCCCCATTTCCTTTAGATTTACCTTCAACTATGCAGTGCAAGAGCCTGCCTAAGTGGATACAATTGAAAGTGTTGTTAGGTTTGACCTCCTATTATATGGTTTTTGGAAAATCTAAACTAAAAATCTCAAGAAGATTGGATAATCTATGGCCAGCCTTAGGCTGGCCATACATTATAATTTTCTAGAGCACTCAAGTAGCATCAAAGTAACATCAAAGTATAATGCCAAAGGATTAGCATTTCTGTGCATTCAGTTCTAAGATTTACACCGCTTTGCCTCAAAGCACAGCCCTGTCTGGCAGAGCAAGAGGCCTGATTTTATTCTGGAGTTAAGTACCACTTACCTATGGTTCACACCCAGGGGCGGACTGACCATTTGGAAACTCGGGCACCGCCCGAGGGCCCGGGGTCAATAGGGGGCCCCATGAGATGCCCCTGGTACCTTTTTCATAGGCTTTTTTGAGTTTGGGCAAGGACACATTGCCTGGGGGCCCCATGAGTTGTCAGTCCGCCCCTGTTCACACCTATGCATTTTTTGTGCATTTTGCAGAAACGCACTACAGTCCATTTAACATGGTTTCCAATGGATCTAGTTCACATCTGTACGTTTTGAACCAGTGCATTTTTGGAAAGGGTCAGGGACTTTTTTTCCTGCAGCAGATAGAATTATGCATGTAAGGCTGGCCATACATTATACAATTTTATTGAGAATTTTGCTTTAGATTTACCAAAAACCATATAATATGAGATCAAACTTAAATGATACCTTCAATTGTATCCACTTAGGCAGGCCCTTGCACTACATAGTTGAAGGTAAATCTAAAGGTAATTGTGCAGAAATTGGACAGAAAATTTGTAAGAGAATTGTATAATGTACGGCCAGCCTATGACTGCTTTCACATTGATCTGTTTTTCTTCTGCTTTTGTGTTGACAATGTAATCCTATGGAACTCTTCACACTGATCCTTTGTGGGTCAGCTGTGTTTTTTAAAATCTTGCTTCCTGCATTTTTAATGCAGGTTTGGTGCGGTAAAAAATAAAATTCATCAAAAACGTACCTCAATATTGAACATAATGGAAACACAGCAAAAAACACATCGAAAATGCATCCACATTGCATTTTTGGTGTGGTTTTAAGTCACATGTCCTGTAAAAAATGCACCGCAAACGTAAAAATGTGTCAAAAATGCATATGTATTTTAGCCACATTTCTGCTCATATCAGTGTGAAAGTAGCCTAACAGACTTCAATGGACCCACACCAAAAACGCAAGTGTTGCATTTTTGATGCGTTTTGTTTTTTTTTTGTTGACTAATAGGAAAGTATTACACTTCTGTCCAGTAGTGCGACTTTGATGTGACTTTACACTCTCTGGCACTAGCCCAGTAGCCTCAAAGTAGTGCAGGAACCTTCATGTGTTCAAAGTCCCATTTTTGGGAGGCTAATAGAAAAGTATGACAATTCTGTTCATGGAGTGCAACTTTACACTCTCTGGCACTCAAGTAGCATCAAAGTAGTGCAGGAACCTTCATGTGTTCAAAGTCCCATTTTTGGGGGGCTAATAGAAAAGTATGACATATCTGTTCATGGAGTGCGACTTTACACTCTCTGGCACTCAAATAGCATCAAAGTCACATCAAAGTAGTGCAGGAACCTTCATGTGTTCAAAGTCCCATTTTTGGGGGGCTAATAGAAAAGTATGACAGTTCTGTTCATGGACTGCGAATTTATACTCTCTGGCATTCAAGTAGCATCAAAGTTGCGTCAAAGCACTCAAAGCAATCTCTGCATTTACTAATACAGAGCAACATTAATTTGTGCATTTTATATCTGCCTGGACATTAGCTTAAAATCTTGAAGGAGAAAAAAAATTCTAAACAAAATAATGTTTTTTCAGTGCTACACAAAGAAAACCTTATCTTCCCAAAAAGTACCTAGCAGAACTTAGCACAACCAGGCAGAAATTATAAAGTGAACCTTCAGTCAATACATGTGTTTTGGTATTGGAGAGAGTAGAGAACCCCATGCAGTGCACGGGAACAGGTTTGATATAATTTACCTCCCCTAGTAGCCCATACCTTTATTTAGTTCCGTTCTTCCAGCAGGAGTGAGGAAAAACAAGCATTTCTCCAGTTGGAGATTACACAAGGCTAAGCCCCCTCCCTCCATCCCATATGATAGCGCTGGGCCAATCACCAAGCACTATAGCTATCACGTGAAAGGAAGAGGAGTGAGTCACATGCTCCTATCTATCTAAGAGTACTGGATTATAAAAACTATCTGTTGTATGCCTCTAAACATGGCAGCATTGTTTCTGAACGTGTGAATGAGCTCTAAAGTGGAACTAAACCTTCAGTAACAAAAATTGCTAGCAGGCAGCTTTTCGCTGCAGTAGAGACATGCTATGTATCCAGGGCTGCTGTTAGGAACCACAGGGCCCTGTACAGCCAACCTGACCAGAACCCCCCTCCCCCCAAAAAAAACTGTTTACTATGCTTCAGTTATAAATGAACACAGAGAGTGATTGGTACCGAACACATATTGTGTTCATTCAGGAAAGAAAGGGGCTGGTAAATGTGACATATTTACCATACCCTTCCCCCACTCTCTATTCTATAGGATGCTATTCTGTGCTTGCAGTTGCCAGTGGAGAGGAGAGGAGGGAAGCCAGCAACACTGTGGGGGGCACACAGGGGGACCTGGGCAGCAGGGGGTAAATGTATAGTGCACAGGGAGGGTTATGGGTGCAGCAGGGGGGCAATTATTGGTACCAATCCCTTGTATGGCTCTCTGCAGCAGCTGAATGCCAGATTTCAGCTGCTGCACAGAAAGCCAAACAGGAAAATCTTTTCCAGTAATTGCCCATGTCGTGGCGATCACCCTCCCTGCCCACATCTGATTCACTGAGCTGCCTGGGCCCCCCTCCTGGCCTGAGCCCCATACAGGAGGACTGGTGGTACCCCCTTATCCATGGCCCTGTATATATCTTCTGCAATAAAACAAACTTACCTAATGTTAACAATGTTCTTTTGAATGCGCATGCGCACCTTAGCATACATTATCATCCTGGTGCCAGAATGAGTAACTCCTGTGTGCATATCTTTATGATGCTTGTAGCCCCACCCCATTTTGAAGACCAAATTATGGGTGCTCCTTTGAGGGGAGGTATATCCAGCACAGAGCCATCACTCCCTCTCTAAAATGAGTTATCTTTCATGATTATAAATGAACAATCACCTCTTCTTGTACATTCATAATAGTAAAAGATCACTCAGAGCTGCAGTTCTATGTAATGTATTTTCCAGTGTTCTTGTATGTGTACAAGCAGCCACATATAGATCACACAGAGCCACAGCTCTAAGTGAGTTTTCTTTACTATTATGAATGAACAAGCTGCCCTGATTGTTTATTCATAATAGCAAAAGATTACATGGTGCAACTGGACTGTGTGATCTATCTGCTAGCTGCATGAAATATACACAGCCCAGATGATGGATCACACAACCTGGCAACGCTGATCGTTCATTCATAAAAGCAGGGCTTTTTTTCAGCACCTGGCACCTCCAGCATTGAATGTATAGTATGTAATGGAAAGTGGTAGCTGGGGAGTATTATGTTCCAGGGGGGTCTATTGTTGCTTGGGGGATCTGTTGTTGGTAGGCGGATCCCACTGTTGATAGAAAATATATCTAGTAGGTGTTTGAATGGCCCCTGGAAAACAGCTGCTCTTTCCTAAAGCTTGCCACCTACTAGCAATTTTGAAACACAATATTTCATATACAGTACCTTATTAAAAAAAATACAAGGCGACCTTTTAAAAATTATTTTTG